GGGAGGGAGGGAGAGAGAGAGGGAGGGAGGGAGGGAGGGAGAGGAGAGGAGAGAGAAAGAAAGAAAAAGAGAAGAAAGAAAGAAAGAAAAGAAAGAAAGAAAGAAAGAAAGAAAAGAAAGAAAGGAAAGAAAATGGCTTTTGTTTGGGCAGTGCCTTGCTTTCCCCTGGCACAACTAGATGTTCAAAGCATAGCCCCATCTTGCATGCCCTGTGGTTTTAATTCTGCTTACTATGTGGAGAACACACAGATTGCCCACACTGGCATGGTCCTGGCTTCCTCACACAGTCCTTTGATTCTGGTGGCTTTGCATTAGACAACTGAGTGGGCTAAGGTCCTTGCAGCACCTCCGATCCCACTCCACCCCTTCTCTTTCTTCCTCTGCTTCCCCCTCTCCTGCTTTGTGCTACTCTGCAAGCTCTGTGGCTGTGGCCACCTCCTAAGCCCCTCCCAGCCTTGTCCTCCTCTGCCACCTTGTGGCCTGCTTCCTGGGTGAACCACCTCCATTCTTGTGTTGGTGTGTCAGTCGCTTTTCCCTCCTTGCATTTCATAGCTTATTCCTTCTAAATAGCTCCCTCCATGAGAACCACAGACATCTCAAAGTCAAGGTGGCAGAGGTAGAGTTGTCACCTTGCCCATAGATGCCTTCCTCCTCCTAGCTTCCCTTGATTGCGGAGTGCCATTGCCGGATATCTATCTCATTCCTGCCTTGGAGATAAGGGGCACAGGGATGATGTGTGGAGCAGAATAGAAAGAGCATGGGCTGTATTTTTTGTTGTTGTTGTTAGAAGTCCAGCAAAGATTTGTTTATCAAGGCAGAACAAAGCAGGGAAAAATAAAAAGCAAAAGGAATAATCCTTTGCCCAAGACTACTTGTACCTTCTAAACGGGAATTCCAGTCCGGCTGTGCCTTTTTAAAAGACCTGTGTTTTGTAATTACTGAATGCTCGCTCTGCCTTTTGTTGGTTATGTGACCTGAGCAGGTTGCTTTATCTCTCTGAGCTCTAGTTTCAGCATATTTTATGTGTGTGTGTGTGTGTGTGTGTGTGTGTGTCTGTCTGTCTGTCTGTCTGTCTGTCTATCATCTTTCTCTCCGTCTTTCTCTGTATCTGTTTTAGCAGGATGATTGTGAGGCTTACATTAAAACTTCGCATTTCTTGTCTAACATTGTTACTCATTACCTTACTTATGTAACTGTAGCCCCTCTGTACAGCACCTTTACAACAAAATAAAATCAAAGTTTTGGTCGTGGGGCTTGAACTCTGGGCCTGGGCGCTGTCCCTCAGCTCTTCAGCTCAAGGCAAGCACTCTACCACTTGAGCCACAGCGCCACTTCGGATTTTCTGGTGGTTAGTGTTAGATAAGAGTCTCATGGCCTTTCCTGCCTAGGCTGGCTTTGAACTGTGATCCTCAGATGTCAGCCTCCTGAGTAGCTAGGATTACAGGTGTGAGCCATCAATGTCTGGCTAAATGCGAGTTATAGGCAGTAACAACTGAATCCTTAACACACTGTTAATAGGCACTATTAACCCCATTTTAAGGTAAAGAAGTTGAAGCAGAAAAGTTAAGTTGCAAACCTGGTTAAGCAATTGTGCAGGTGCTTGAAGTCAGACCATCTGACTCTGTTGCCTGAGCTCTAAATCACTGCCCCCAGCTGAATCTGAATATCCAGTAAAACTGGGAATTAGCATCAGGTGTTTCTATTGCAGGGGATTAGGGATGGGGTGCTTGATAAACTATGGCTCCTGGGAAATGTGAAGACTCTTAAGGACTGTGACAACAGAAGCACTATATCTGATTTGACAGAACAAGAGGGAATGTGGTATCTTCCCATCAACTCATGAAAACAAAGCCATCTGGAAGAGCAGAACACAAGGAAGCATTGGGAGCATATGGCACTGCTCTGAGGATGTCTACTATGGAAAGGGAAAAAGCAAACCAAAGGATATTGAACAGATGCTCCCAGGCATAGCCCAGAGGCAGGGAGAGATCAGGAACTGGGCCTAGATCCCTAAGGAAAAGATTTAGAGCCCAAGGAAGGAGTCTACCCACAGGAAGGGGCTCCATGGGATTACAGTAGTATGGTCATGGGGAAGGACATGGGTTCTAATAGAGATTCTAGCAGACTAGAAAAGGCTGAAGGTAGGCATTCAACAAAGAAGTAGTGATTACAGTTGTACAGGAAACAGATGGCCAAGACTGCAACAAAGATGGGAAGGAAGGTGATTAAAAGGTGTGTGTGTGTGTGTGTGTGTGTGTGTGTGTGTGTGTGTGTGTGTGTGTATCCACACATTCAGAACAGAGCTGGCATCAGAATTTGAAGAAATGAGTGAGAACAGAACAATAACTTTTATTTAGCAAATAACCATTAAGAAAGGCTCTGGAGTTAACCTGCTCTCTTAAGTGTCACCTTGAATAAGATAACAACTGGTAGCTATTATAATAGTTTGAACTAGAATAAAATTATTTATGAATGGTGGGCTTTTCTGATTTAAATTAAATGAAGTCTTTTGCTATTATTACAGGAATTTTGCCCTCGGAGTTCACTTATTAAGATCAGCCAAAACAAATACGTTCTCGCTTGCTCTCATATAAAGTCACCCCCAATTCAGGATTCTTCAAAAATGTAAGTACACTCTTTTTTTTTTTTTTGGTCCCACATGGGGCTTGAACTCTGGGACCTGGGCACCGTCCCTCAGCTCTTTAGCTCAAGGCTAGCGCTCTACCACTTGAGCCACTGCACCACTTCCGATTTTCTGGTGGTTAATTGGAGATAAGGGTCTCATGGACTTTCCTTCCTGGGCTGGCTTTGAACTGTGATCCTCATATCTCAGCCCCCTGAGTAGTTAGGATTACAGGTGTGAGCCACCAGTGCCCAGCTAGAAGCTCCCTGAGCTTGTGGTGTTTTTTTGTTTTGTTTTGTTGTTGTTGTTGTTTTGGTCTGTCATGGGGCTTGAACTCTGGGCCTGGGCACTGTCCTCAGCTCTTCAGCTCAAGGTGAGTACTCTACCACTTGAGCCACTTCCAGCTTTTTGGTTGTTAATTGGAGATAAGAATCTCATGGGATTTCCTCCCAGGCTGGCTTCAAATTGCAATCCTTAGATCTCAGCCTTCTGAGTAGCTAGGATAATTAATGCCTGGCTTATGGCATACTTTTTAACTGTTCTTTATTCCTCTACCTTGTTCTGATCTTAAAGTAACATTACTTTTCTGGCCCTTCAGAAAAGCATTAATCCTGTCATAAATATAAAGGTATTGCTCCCATTTATTTGTAAGGATTCAAGGTTTTCTGATTAAGTTAGACTTGGGAATAGTCACTTACCTATCTAGGAGGTAGAAGTCAGTTGCTACCATGGCTTGCCCATGGCCAAATGAGTATAAAAGTGAGCTGGTGGGTAGTAGTTCCCAGGGGCTGAAGTGGAGTGAAAAAATTTTTCATCTGAAGCAGTGGGATTGCTAAGAACTGTCAGGATGGCTTGCTTAGTCCAGTATCAGTAGGAAAAACTTAAGGCACCATGGAGCCAGAAAGAACATCAGTGTTGGAGTCACAGAGCCATAAATTTAGAGCCAAAGGCACAGAAAGGGATGTATAGATTGGAGCAAAGGTTGTGGAAATGGATTCAGGAAATGCCTTTCAATTGCATTGAGAGTTGATGGCTTGTCTTTGGGAGCTGACCTGTATTCATTCCATGGTGTTCATTCTAGAAATCATTATGCATTTTCTCCCTTCCCTTCTTACCTCCTATCTTTTGGCATGTGGGAATATCTTTCTTTCTCCAGGATGTAAAAAATTAGTGTCCCTCCCCTCATCCAAGGCCCATCAGCCTTCAGAAGCCTATCCTTGGTTACCTTGAGTCTTGGGTCCATACCCTCTGGGTTATCCCTGAATTATTCTATTGTACCCTTAGTTAGTTCCTCTCCATAAGACCTTCACCTTAGATGGAGGAGAAAAGAGTTTGTTTCCTTTACTTACACACACACACACACACACACACACACACACATACACACACACCAAAATGCAAAAGCCTCGTGGCTCTGCAGTATGGTCTAGCACCCTCCTTCCCTTCTCTGCTAATCTCTCTGTGCATGCAGATGGACTTCAATCTCCATTCTCTTGCCTCCTATTCATCTTTAAGCTTTACCACTCAGAAAGTTTCCACAAAGCCCACAGGGACCTCCCTCATGCCCAAGCCAATGTGCCCTCCCCTTCCTGACCATGCTAATCCTCAGGCTTTCAATTAATACTGTAAACCTCTCCTTTCTTCCCCACCTGGCTCCTCTGAGGAGTTGCTGTGGCCCTCTCTAGACCTTTTTGCCTACATGATTTTGTCCGCACCATGGCTTCCGGGACCCATGTACACTGCAGACCCCATAGATCCTTTTCCAACCTAGACACTTTTCCTGGGTTCTTGCATCAGGTTCACAGACCTTGACAGTAGTAGCCTGTGATGGTATTTTTGCAAGTTACTCAGGTGGCTATAAGGTGCAGCCATGGCAGACAACTACAGCAGAAAGGGCGCTGGGAACTCAGGGTATATATCACTTAGATTACCTAGCATCTTAGTTTGTGCCTTCATCTCTAGGACTAGGGTAGTAGGAGGATGGGGAATGTCTATTGCTGCACCTGGTGTAAAACAGGTATTCAGCATGTGGCAGAAATAGCATGCTTTCCAGCCCTTCACTTGCTATTTCTGCCTGAGTGCACAGAAGTTCAAGTTCAGCACATCTAAACAGGACTCAAGTTCCATCCAAATCGGCTTATATCTCAGCTTTCCTCATCTCATTTTGCTTTTCCATCCTCAGTCACAGAATTGTCCAAACAGGAATCTACTGGCCTCTTCATGTCATTCACCCATCACACCTCAACTGCCTCTAAGTCTTAGTTGACCTGGCTTGCAGATATTTCTCAGTTCCTTGTACCAGTTCTGCTTTAGGTCAAGAGCCGTCTTTTCCCTGCCTCAACCTCTATCTTCTCCCTGAGGACTGACCAGAGTAATCCTCCCATGCCAGTTTGCTCTTGCAGCTCTCCCACTTAAAAATCCCTCAGAGCCTCCTCTTACCCTCCTTCCCATATATACCTTTAACAATGCCTCTGCCATTTCCTAGCCTAGCTTAGCCTCTTAAATTTTGGTCTGTTCTTGCCTACTTCCCTAGCCTTCAACCTCTTTTTGGTCTGATCCTGCCTACTGCCCTAGCCTTTAGCCTCTTTTTAGTCTGATCCTGCCTACTTTCCTAGCCTTATTAGTTTCTAGCCAACCCCACATAACCTCCACAACACACTTAACACTCTTGAAAAAAGTTGCATTTATACACACACACACACACACACACACACACACACACCATGCTTTTTTAGGTCTTTGTGCCTTTGTACAGACTAATATTCCTTCCCTGGAATGCTGTTCCTTGCCTTAGACCATTTATGAAATTCCTAGATTAAACTCAATCATCCTGGCACCCAGCCTTCTTGTAGTAAAATAATCCTACTGCATATTTTGGAAGTTTTTATTAAAGGAATTTTCCCTTGTCTTAGACTTAATATTGCTTTAATAAAATGCCTAAGGCTAAATAGTTCATAAAGAGGCCTATTTAACTCACAATTTTGAAGATTGAAAGTCCAAGATTAAGGGGCCCAGTATATCTGGCTTCTACTTCTTGATGGATGGTGGAACACAGTAAAAAATTTAAAAGTTAAAATAAAAAATTAAAATACAAATAATTTTTTAAGTCAGGAAGGAAAATATTTCGATGATGAAGGGCTTAAAATTGATCCCATATGGCCAAAGCTGATACAACCCAAGTTTTGACATCTAAGTCTTTTGAAGACTTTTAATATGGTCAGCATGTAAAATATATTAATCCATATTACCAAATTCCAAATGATTAATTAGCATTATTTAAATGACTAATTAGTATTAAGGCCACCATTTTTATAGATGTGAACCAGTGAGGCTGGTGCCAATTTCCTCTTTCCTCTGACACCACAGCTGAGAGTGAGTCTTCACTAGAGGGAAATAATTACTCATCTCTTTCCCTTCCCCTCAGTAGCATCCCCAAATTTCCTCTGTATTCTGTGGCATCACAGATGTCATAGATGTCTGTTCTAGGTTTTAATATTCCCTTACCTCTCTGTAACTTTCTTCGTCTAGAAAACATACATGTAATTTCCCTTGGGCGATCTCAATAACCTCAAGAAGGAAACAGAACAAGAGGACTTCTCCCTCATTTGGCATCTTCTGTCCTTATCCACAAGGGGACACAGACCATGTTCTTTCCTTCCTTGCTGCCTTCCCTGGGGTCCTGTTCACCTCAGGGACCTTAGGCCTGGGGCTGATTGTGGGACAAACCTAGTGGGTCTGTCCCTGCTTTTCTACAGCTTGCATGATCCCAATGATCTTCCTTTGTTTCTACAGAATGTAGACCTGGGTTCTTTTACTTTCTTCATTCACAGAATTAAAGTGGTGGGTGCTTCTAATCTGCTATCCTGCCCTGCTTCTTTTAACCTGGTGGATTCACTGCTCTGGCTTCTGGCTTTCTCAGTAAGCTGGTTCTACTAGGTATTGTCAGCCACCCACAGATGGGACTCTGTCAGGTTTCAGCTGAATCCACACATCTGGTTGCTGGAAATCCCTCCAGCAGAGGGATCTTCCCTTCATTCTTGACCCAGTAAGGTAGCAAATTAACCCTTGAAGACTCTCCTTTAAGAAGACTCTTTAGAAAGAATGCCATATTTCTTTTTTAAAAAAATAGTAACATTCCATACATGATCTTAGAAAAGCCAAATAGAACTCATTATTTGCTTTGTGCTCCAGAGAAACTATTAGGCATCTAAAGGAAAATTGTTGGATCTTGAGATCCTGAAGTCAGGGAATCTTTTTCTGTGTTACTTGTCATTGTGTGGTGTTGGGGACATGGTCATATGAGGCTCCAGGATGTAAGACATCCCCCCACCAGGGCTTGAATGTAGTTTGGCTATGTCTGGGTCAGGTCTCCAAATGCTGTCATATAAAATATTAGCCTCACACATCTCTCTTTTGAGCAGTGAATAACTTCCACTGAAGTCATTAGATTCAGGAGCAAGTCCCAATGGAAGTGCTAATTCCCATATAGTTTAACCCTCTATGTGCTGCGATGGCACATTGTCTTTCTAATAGCAGCAAAATTAAGCCATTAACTGGAACTTCAGGTTTAAGCACTGCCACTGACATTACACGAGATAAATCATTTCCCTTAGTCCAACTTGGTCACTCCCAACAATTTTTCCCATAATGACAGCAGTGCACTTTAAATCTTTAAGCCTATGTATGTCTCTAGCTCCTTTTTCATTTCTTCTCTTCAAATTAGAAGTATCATTTTGAAAAATGAGTGGTTCAGCTAGAAACCTTTTCTACAAATGTCCTAGATTATATATGAGGACAAGTGCCATTTCCTGCTTTCAGGAGGCATGCTGCAGTGTTCTTAGGACAAGAAAGTATAGTCATAGAGATTCGCTAACCTTCAAGGCCAGTGTCAAAGTGTCAGTCTCTTCATTTTTTGCCCCTTCAATTTTTAAAACTCAAAGACCTCCTGTCCCTCCTTAGACATAATATAATATACAAATTGAGGATTTCTAACCTGAACATCCAAAATCTGATGTGCTCCAAAATCATGTTGAGCTTCAACAAGATGCCACGAGTGGAAAGTTCCACACTTGACCTCATACGATAGATTACAGTCAAAATTCAGGCACACTTAAAATGTATAGTATAAAATTATCCTACGCAAGGGGCACATGCAACACAAATAAGTTTGGTGTTTAGACTTGGTTCATATAGCCAAAGTATCTTGTTAGGTATATGCCAAAACTTTTTTTTTTAAATCCAAAATCTGAAACAATTCTAGATGCTTAACCTGTATTCAACCAAATCTATAACAGCCACAATTACTGAGGCACCTAATTTAAGCTGTTTTGATATGACATTGTTTGGGGGGGGGAGTCATTTATTGGATCATTTCCAGGCATGGTTATGCAAATTCCCCACTGGCCAGGAGTCAGGATGATGGCAGCCTTTCCCTTTTCCACAGAATGTGCACCAAGAAACAGAGTGAGGTGTTTGGAAGAGGGGATTAACATGTCCACATCAGCTGGGAATGGCAGTGGACACCTGTAATACCAGTATATTCAGGAGACTGGAGTAGGAGGGTCACAAGCCCAGACCAGCCTGAGTTACATAGAGAGAGTCCTTGCCTTAACCATACCTCACCACCAAAAAAAAAAAGAAAGAAAAGAGGGCTGGGAAGGTGGCTCAGTAGTAGAGCCCTTGCCTTACATGCTTGAGGCCCTGGGTTCTAGTCCTCAGTACCACATAAGCAGAAAAAGCCGGAAGTGGTGCTGTGGCTTAAGTGGTAGAGCGCTAGCCTTGAGGTGAAGAGCTCAGGGACAGCACCCAGGCCCAGAATTCAGGCCCCATGACTGACCAAAAAAAAAAAAGAAAAGAAAAGAAAAAAACAGACACACACACAGATCCTACTCTGTTCCCAACCCTCACCCCATTTAAGGGAATATTCCCTTGTTGAAATGTTTTCAACTTGGTCAAGGTCAGCCATTCTGAAGAGTGAAATACAGTAAATAATTAGTATAAAGCATTTTCTTGATCAAAACCCCTTGTCCTGCTTTTTGGTCTAATCAGCAAACTAGTATTTTTTTTTATTCTTGCAAAAGTAACATATAGTTCATATAACTTAGAAATTAAAAACAATTCAAAAAATACAGAAAATGAGGCTGAGAATGTGGCTTAGTGATAGAGTACTTGCCTAGCATGCATGAAGCCCTGGGTTCGATTCCTCAGTACCATATCATTATTCTTCCTTGCCATATGCCACATTTGTAAAATTGTTTCTAAATAGGAGGAGGGGGATGAATAAAGTGGGGAGTTAGTTTTTTTAAGATTTTTAAAATTTTGTTATTATAATGATGATGTACAGAGTGATTGTTACATAAGTCAGGTAGCTTTTTATTTTTATTTTTCTGGTACTGGGACTTGAACTCCCAGACCTGAGTGTTCACTCAGGTGATACTCTACCACATGAGCCACAGCACTATTTCTTGCTTTCTTGCTGGTTAATTGGAGATAAGAGACTTTTCTGCCTGGTCTAGCTTCATACCTCAATCCTCAGATTTTAGACTCCTGAGTAGCTAGGATTATAGGTGTGAACCACCAGAACCCAGCAAGTTGGGTTTTGATCCTAGAAATGTGGAGTGGGTATTTAGCAATTCCAAAAATGGACCCAGTCCCTTCTGAAGAGCGAGGAAGACACAGAGATAACTGATTTCTACTAATCTTTGCATATTCATAACCTTAACAGCAAACATGGAAATAGAATATGCATTCTGCTTTTGTATCATTTTTCCCACTTAACAGTGTATAGTTTGTTTCTTTCTGTAACAATGTTATCTCTTATTTCATTATTGCCTAATTATTTCATTATAACTTTCTATGTGACTGTGAAACTGTTGGTCTCTTCCTCTTCCTCCTCCTCCTCTATCCATCCATCCTCCAATCTTCCAAAGTTGCTATTGGCAGGTAGGTAGGGTCTTTCACTGCCTTATTCTTTGGGCACTTTGAATATGTCTAGAAAACTTTCCATTGTGGTCTGGAGAATTTGGTTTGTGATTTCACAGAATGATCTTAGGAAATGTAACTTTGAAGAGTGATTTCACAATGTGTGCAAGCACCTGGCATTACAGAACTCCTACAACCACATAAGCCACGGCCTCACCTTTGAAGGTGGCTTGTCTGTGGCCTCCCAGTTACTATTATTGCTCAGGACTTTTTTTAATCTTACAAGTCTTTGGTAATCATTGAAAATTAATATGTGGTGAATCTCAATCTCTTGGAGAAGGATTTGAATGCTGGAATTTTCTATTTGGAAATTCTTTCCTGAGTTTTGTTATCTTTTTCCTGACATTTCCCAGAACGATCTGAAACAACATAAAGACCTACAGTTATTCAGAGTAAGAACAACACTTAAGGAGTAAAGGCAGGGAGATCAAGGTGGCTGGTATAGATATGGGAACAAAGTAAGGTTTAATAGCAATTAGCTGGTTCCCTTAACTTATCCTGACAGCTCTGAAAAAAAGGTGAGACCACCCCAAACAGCCATGGTGGGGGATGGCCGGGACAGGGTCAAGGTGTCCCCAAGACACCTTGAAGGACAACACTTCTGAATTAATAACTTTTGCTCATTTTCTAAATAATATGCGGCTCTATGACTTCATAGTCATGCCTACGTTTTTTCAATCAAATATAATGTAAAGTCAGCTCACAGTTGGCATTTCAGAAAGTGTTCCTAATGTTCCATGATGAATCAAGTCATTAGAGAAGCCAGGGCGATGGCAGGTCTCTGGTATATGCTGTAGTTCAGGGCTGAAACGGGTTGTGAGGGGGACAAACTTGGCACCTCAGAGTGGACACCATCAATGCTGAGGCATGTCCAGGAACTTCCAGAGTGGAGTTGTTTCTTCATTGACATAGCCAGGCAGGACCAATCCAGGTGGTTAGATTTTACCTGGCCCCCAGACACCAAAGGTTTGCTGAAGGAAATTGAGTGGAATGAATCCCAGCCTGAAGTATCCAGCCCTCAGGACAGTGGACAAAAAGCCAAGAAATCTCTTGGTGCTGGTTTGGAACATCTCTGGGGCTATCAAAGCCATCAAAACCAGGGCATCTCTGATATCTCTCTCTCTCTCTCTCTCTCTCTCTCTCTCTCCCTCCCTCCTTCCCTCTTCTCTTTCTTTATATCTCTTCTATCTAGAGAGAATGAGGAGGCAAGGAACTCTACTTTCCGGACAACAAAAGAAGTTGACACTGAAGATTTAAAAGATCTGAGAAAGAAGAAGAGGAAACCTTCCAAGAGGCTACCTGTCCAGGAGACAGTGACCTCGGACTCAGACAACTCTTCCCATGACAACAGGTCCCAAGAGTCTCACTCCAAGACACACCCGAAGCCCAGGGTGGGATATGGGGGGCAACACGGTGCATCCCTAGAGCACTCTGAAATCCCTTTCAAGAACAGTCAAGGTAAGCCAGGAGCAGGAGCCAGTGGCTCACACTTATAATCTTAGCTACTCAGGAGACTGAGATCTGATAATCATGGTTCAAAGCCAGTCTGGGCAAGAATGTCCAAGACACTCTTATCACTAGTTAACCAGCAAAAAGCTGGAAGTAGAACTATGGCTCAAGTTGTAGAGCACCAGCCTTGAGCATAAAAACTAAGGGATAGTGCCCAAGCCCTAAGGTCAAGCCCTAGCACTGGCACCAAAAAAATATGAATGAGATTCCCCAGATTCCAGGTTATTGTAGGACTCAGCCCAACAAAAACACTAACTCACTGAAGTTATGCTAACATCTGCTTCCCCAGAAAAGACCCTCAGCCTGAGGATCAGAACCCGCCCAGCCTCTCCTTTGTTGCCTCCCAACTACCTGGAGCACACAGGCCCTGCCCCGCCCTCTTTGAGCCACCCACAGCAGCAAAAAGCTGAGGACTTGGCTGAGAAACGTTAAAACAGGCTGGTGGCAACTAAATTTAAGTGAGCCAGCATTCCTTCTGTGCTATTCAGACCTCAGCCACTCAGCCCTGTGGAGCAAGCCCCTCTTCTGAGGTAAGGCCACACTTCATTCTACTTTGGGTAACTGAGGTCCAGTTCTCCTCTTCTTGAGGCTTTTCTGCCTGTTTGAGCTTCTGGCTTCCCCTGACGATTCTTCATGTTGTTTTCCTTCCACTCTCCCATCCTCACAACCTCCCAACCTCACCAGGTTTCCGGTATCTTCTAGTACACCTAGTTCTAACCCAACCAGATTGCTGTCAGGATTTTCGATTTGGGGGAGGAGTCAATTTACCTAGAATCCAAGCCTGTCACCTTGTTTTAAATTGATTATCCCATCTGAATTAGGGGTTTGTCATTCGATATGAGGACTGAACAACTGGTAAATTTCTCCTCTGAGATTCGTAAGACTGAACACACTCTACATTATTGCTTTCTGGACATTTTAAATTGAGCCTTCTCTAATTATTTTTGTCTGTAGTCTGTTGTAGGTCCCTCTGAGTGCCGAACCAGAATAAAGACTCTTACATTGAAACACTTCAAAATTAGTGGGCTGTTCAAGTGTTAGTATTTTCTTTGAACACATTTTTACAATAGCATATTTTGAACTAGCTCTCACCAACTATCTTTTTTCTGGGTGGTCATAGTCCTTGAAGCTAGATAAAAATAGTATTAATAAAAAATGGAGGACAGAGTTCTAATACTATAAAAAGTCACAATTTAGATAAAGGTAGTATTCACATTTCTGAAAGCTAGTAGTCACCAGGGTTATACTGTGAATAAATTAATGAAGAAATTCACTTCAAAAAATTACAAAGCTTCAGCATCAACCTAAAACTAGCAATTCAATGAGGAAAGAATGAGCCAAGCAAAGACTAAAACAAGGCAGGAAAGCTGGGTGCAGTGGATCAAGTCTTTCATCCTAGCTACTTGGGAAGCAGAGATTGGAGGATCGAAGTTCCAGGCCAGCCCAGGCAAAAAATAAAAGTTCATCAGACTCCATCTGGACCACTGGCTGGACATGGTGGCCACATGTCTGTCATCTCACAATGGTTTGGCAAGATGGTAGTGTACACCTGACATTCCAGCAACTCAGGGAAGCACTAACAGGAAAGGATCACCATCCATCTGTCTGTCCCTAGCATAAAGCATGGCTCTACTTTGAAAATATGAATGAAAAAAGAGCTAGTGGGGTGGTTACCGTGGCAAAGTGCCTGCCTAGCAAGCCATGAGTTTGAACTCACACACTGGCAAAAACAAAACAAAACAAAAAGAAAATCCAGTTGTAGTGAACATGTAACCCCATATGCAGTTTTCTTCAGTTATCCAATAAGTAATTGAGTAGGAAGTAATTTTCATTTCATTTTCCTTTTTCATTCTTTATGTGATATGTTTGATGATAAGGCCTGGTTCAATGAACAAGGAAATGGCAACTACAATAAAGTATTTCCACTTCTAGCCAATATGGAGTAACAAGCTAGATTTACACTGCCACCCAAAGCAACTAACATCATCTGATAAAACATATGGAGCCAAGCACCAGTGGCTCACACTTGTAATCCAGTTATGATCATGAAGCTGAGATCTGAGGATTGAGGTTCAGAGTCAGCGTAGGCAGCAAAGTCCATGAGACTCCTATTTCCAATTAACTAGCAAAAAGCCAGAAGTAGAACTATGGCTCTAGTGTGCCTTGAGCAAAAAAGAGAAAAAACAAACTCAGAGACAGAGCCTAGGCCCCAAGTTCAAGCACCAGAACTGACACAAAACAAGAAATCATATAGAAGGCTTGGAAGTGTGGCTCAGTTTGTAGAGCACTAGCCAATGAGTGAAAGAAGAAGGTAGTGAGTTTAGTCCCAGTCTTAGACCTAAAAAAAAAAAAAAAAAAAAAAAAAAGCATATGAAACAGAAGTTTCCAAAGCTTTGGCCACCAGGCAATAAAGGGCAACAATCTTTGAGAGGCAAATGGGGTAAGCCTCATGAGTGTTCTAGCTTATTCTTTGGCTGTAGCCAAAGAAAAGAAGAGCCCAGGAAAAGCCTGGTAGCCTCCTAAGTTGAGGAGATAGAACTAGGATTCTAAGATCACCAAGGAAGCTGGAGTTCACAGGGCAGAGCATTGGAGAGCAGAGAGGGAACTCTGAAGATGGTAGAGGAGTCTCTGAATCTTCCTCAGTACTGATCAGCATGGCTAGGAGGAAATTCTCCAATGCTGGAGAAACCACCCAAAAAGATTAGAAGAAGCAATCACTATAGCTTGAGCCAGAGCAGAAAATCTCAATATTCCAAAGAGTTTGTTTAGGAGAGCAAACCCAACCTTAGAGTAAATGCTTCTCTGGTTCCAAGTAACAAAGATTTAAAAAGCAAGACCTGAAACTCCCAACACCTCTCTGCTTCTAGTCTCTACATGAATAAGAATGATTTACCCCTGCCAGCAATTCAAATGATACTTTGTACATGTGAATCGTGGCCTTTACTTTTGGCCTTAACCTCAAAGGATCCAACCAGTCTTAGATAGAAGATACTCAGGGAAAAACATTGTATCTCTACTGAACATGCACAGACTTTTTTGTTTTATGTTACTGTTTCCTAAAGAATAATGAGTATTTACATTGCATTAGGTGTTATAAGTCCTCTAGAGATGATTTCAAGAATACAGGATGTGTGCAGGTTCTATGCTAATACCATTTCATTTTTTGGTGTTTTTTTATTGTGATTAAGTGATTACATAATTTCCCAAATTTCACAGTATTGTGGAATAATGATGCTCATTTAAAGTTACAAGCTCATTCTAACTTTCCTGGAGCAAATTGTCTATTACGGATACTCTATCATTTTAAATAAGGGTCTTGTGCATCTTCAGATTTTTTTTATCCACACAATCAGAGGAGCCAGTACCCTGAAAGAACTGACACACATTGGAAGTTTAAAACAGAATCCAGGACCCTATTCCCAGAGATTTCAGTTCCTAGATCTGAGGTGGTACCTAGCATTCCACACCCTCCACAAACTCCTGAATGGGAACCTCAGTAAATCATACTTGGGAACCCAAGAAGGTTGTGAAAGAGAAGATAGGCCTACTGGTATGCTTCACACCTCTCAGGCCTGAGCCCAACCCATCCCCAAAGAGTTCAGCAGCCTCCAAGTGGAGTGTTAGCCCATTTCACTTCTTTTCTTGACTGCCTGGCTGGTGATCCTTCCAGAAGGTCCTCTCCGCACCTTAAATGAAACACCACCACCCCTTGCAACACTTTCTCAGAGGGCTGCTGAATGGATATAATTCTGAATCTTTTCAGTAAGTGGAGCTGTGTGCAAATCTCCTGTGTTTGCCATCCTGTACCATCATACTCCCGGAACCCAGGGCCATGTTGGGCAGACATAGCTACAAAGAGACTAAAAATTGATCCCAGGAAGTAGTCACTGGTAAACTTTGAGCTAGTTAGCCCCTATTCTGTGTCCCAGATTCTTTACCTGTTCATTGGGCAGGTCTGAGAAATGGGGTCAGGTGACCTACTTCAGCCAACAATCCCTAAATAACTTTCCAGGTCAACATACCATGATCCCTCTCCTCATTTTTCTCAAACTAAAATAGGTATTAATATCAATTGTAACCTTTCAGTTAGTCCACATTGAAAAAAGGCATACCTCGTCTGCAACTTCCTGGACAACTTATCAAATATGTTACCAGAAAGTTTAGGGCAGCTAAACATCATCTTGCATCTTGCAAAAGAAAAATTTAGGAAAGGCTCAAACATAAGGTGATAGAAAAGTTTATTACAAGAGAAATATGACTGAGAAAGAGAGCATGTAGCTTGGACATGCCACAGGAAAGACGTAAGTTGAGCCCAGTTCTGCCACCCTGGGCTCTCTTCCACCGTCTCCTCATTACAGAGCTGGGCCTTGAGTTAAATGGTTAGAACTGGATGGCTTTCTGATTGGTGGGTCTCCTTTCTGATTCCTCTTAAGTTTATGACCCTAAAGAATGTCTGTCCCATCCTTAGTTCTACATTTATTATTCTTTTATAACCCCTGCCCTGAGGGAGAGAGAGAAACTGTTGGGTAGATAGGGATAAAAAGTGGTCAACAGCCGGGCATGAGTGGTTCATGTCTGTAATCCTAACTACTCAGGAGGCTGAGACCTGAGGATTGTGGTTCAGAGCCAGCCCAGACCCTAACCCCCCCCCAAAAAACAAAAATCAGTGACTTTTATCTCCAATTAGCCACCATAAGGCAAGAAATAGGGCTGTGGATCAAGTGGTAGAGTGTCAGGCTGTGAGAAGAAGCAATCTTTTCTGTCAAACTAAAATGTCTCCATCTCATAACCAGTCACACTATATACTGATATTTCCTGGAATTATCATCATCTGTGTTGTTAGTGACCAGCCAGTCATGTCAGATGTATAAATCTTTGTCAATGAAATTAAAGAATAGACCTTGCCTTGAGTGGGAATTTTCCACTGACTTTACTCACTTCCTCCTTGT